AAGAAATTATTCGAAACTGAAATTGAAATCTAATATTACTTAAAACAAAAAATAATTGATAAACTATGAAGTAATTAATAAAGTCATATTCTTTTTAGTTAATTCCATCGTTGCGATAATTAAAAACTAAAAGCATTAAGAAAGTGATCTCTTACAAACGGCCGCCGAAAAATATCTCTTTATTCTCCATGATTTGTTCCAAATGGATTTCTTGGAAGCTTGTGCCTTGTCTTTTACATGCCATCAAAGATATATATCAGTGATGCGAATAATATACACTTGTAAATATGGGATTTATATGATCAACACTCATAAAACTTTTGATTGTAAAAAACCTAGCTGTTTCATTTTTCTTATTCTCTCTCCTTTTTTTTCTTCTTTACAATTTATGTTAATTTTATTCATCAATTTAACTTTTTTTCCTTCAATTTTATCTAGTCGGTGACAACATCGGTTTTGATATCGGTTGCCGCTTGCTGGTTATCTTTTTTCTTTGTTTTTTAATTTTTTTAATAAGAATAATTACGTCTTTGTTACATATTCTCTGTCTTTATGGCACGTTTATATATTCTTTTGTGACACATTTTTCTCTGTCTTTGTGGCACGTTTTTTCCGTCTTTTGGTAGTTTACGATTTTTTGTCTTTTTTTCATTTATTTTTTCATAGGGTTGGATTTGACATCGCCACGACTGATCAAGATGTCTCTTATTTGTTATTATGTTGATCTTCTCTGCTTTTGACCCTCGGATTGATTTGGATATGTGTTTTACACTTGTGAATAGTTTTCTCACGTTGCTTGACTCTGATTTGGGATTTGTCGATGGTCTGTCAGTAGTTTCATCCCCTTTTGTGATTTTTTTAGCCGATGCAATCAGATGTGTTCGTATCTTTATTTTATTTGAGCATTGGTTAGGTTTTTTAACCTTTTCCTTTTAAGGTCATTTTGTGATTTAGGTGGCTAATTTTTATGTAAATGATTATAGGAAAATGTACTAATTATAATTTAGTTTGCGATTATGCTCGTAAATTTTCATTGTAATTCTGGACATTTTCTATTTTTAATAAAACTAGCGACTTTCTATAAATAAAAAAAACCATCGTCGAATTAAATAAATATTATTAAAGAGTATACAAATAAATATTTATTTTTTAAAAAAAAGTGAAGAGGGCAAATAATCTAAAATTCAAGGACCTAGATCCTCAAGAAGAACAAAACAACTGGCCTTCTTTTGTCACAGCAGCGATGCCCCTGGAAACATTGGTTACTATTGAAGTACACTAATGATAAAATCACAAGTTATCACGAAAATAATAGAGTACTGCAAATTGGGTGAAAATAGTAGAAATTAAGTTGAGGCATAATCATTTTCCCTACAAATGAGACAAGTTGATGCCCTAAGTTGGAATGAATAAAACGTTGCACTACACATATCAATTTTTTAAAACTCAAACTAGAGAAAATATTACTATAAAATTAAGATAATATCAATTGGTATTAGATGTAATAATAAGACTTGTTGTATTCTTAAAAGAAAGACAATTTTTTTCTGAACAATTATTATTTAGAGGAAAGTGAAGTATGCTACTAATAGATATTGAATCCATATTCTAAAGGAGAGTGGCATAGAAAGATACAAGTTCGAATCAAGAACTCTGATTAAAATAAAAATACTTAAAAAAAAATATAAGCTGGAGGAGCGAGGAATTATATTTGCTTATTATCTCGTATATTACAAGTGACTTAACCATGCTAAATCTACTGATAATGAATAACGCTGTATGAAATTGTGTAATTTTTTTTATAATTTGTCAATGGCATATTCTGTGACAATTTAGAAATGTTGATGAGAAATGCAGAAGGTGATTGAAGAGCGAAAACCCATATTCCCAAATCCAAAATGTGTTCAGTGTCCTGGAAAAACAATCTCCATGGCCATGGGGGAAATGCAATGCAATGCAGGAAGAGGAAAGAAAAGCAAAAGCAAAGGGCCAGATTCCCAAATCCCAACAAATGCTCAGTGTCTTGGAAAATCAAGAACATCCAACCTAAAAGATACAAATGATGAGACCCTCCCGGTCCGGAAAATAACATCTGTAAGACTTGCTTGTGTGGATGGGGTGGGGGGCATACGCTGTTGGCTTCATCACTTGGACCCGCACACCCCCTGTCTGTATTTCTTTGTCCTTTTCCCGTTTTATTTATTTATTTAAATCCCACTGTCATTTTTCACCTGCTCTTTGCTTCTTTTTCACGTTTTGCAGAGAGATTGATGGGGTATGGTTTTTGATGGATTCTCGATTCAGTATTCACTTTTTCATTCTTTCAGCTCAGCAAACAAACACAAAACCGCAGAGCAGCCGCAGATAAGCTTTACTCCCACTAAACTTCAACTTCAGGGAAAGATAAAAGCCATACTGATCTCAGTACATTCTGAAACCAAACAGTACCACTACAGCTCCAACTATCGCACTCATTTCTCCGATTAATCGTATTATTATTACTTACTATTTCTTCGTAAATCACAATAGTAAAACATGGTGGTGGTGAAAATGAGGCCAAAAGACTAAAACTAGTGGAGGCGATGAATTGGAGGACAAAAGACGTGAAGTGCCAGACCCCATATGAGTGAATGATAGAGATGCAAAAACACGAGAGGAGGACACTCTTAACTTTTTCTGCATTAGTATAGTATCTTATCATCTTCATTTGTCTGTAGATATACAGATGCATTATAGTAGTAATGAAATATGTTCTTAAAAGTTTTAAGAGGAGAGAGAGAGAGAGAGAGAGAGAGAGAGAAGATGACAAAAAGTGGGAGTTCCAGAGAAGATGATTGCGATGATCGATCGATCGTCGTGTTTTTAATGAATCCAAGCGTGTGGCTGTGAATGAAATTGAATTAACACCCTCTAATGTTGAAAACGACAGCTTAGTTAATTCGGAGGAAAAAAAAAGTGGAGACCCCTACCTTTCCGTTTTTAAGAGCATGGCTTAGATAATTTTGATAACGACATATGCTTTCCACTGCCTGTTGATGACCTCTCAAAAACCCAGAATTTTAGGGTGCATGTATTGTTGTTCTGTCAAAAACTAAAAGCCCTAAGCTTCCTACGGTTCTGGTTTTCTTCCCCGTGGCTTTAGAGATCAGTTCCAATTCATATTAAAAATATACAGGAAGAAAACAAAATTATGAGAGAGAGAGAGAGTTGTAGACTTTTTGTGTATGAGATTATACTGTAGTAAATGTTGGGGGAATCCTAGTTCCTAATAGTGAAATAATGGCTGGTGAAAGAAAAGCTGAAAGAAACCCTTCTCCGTGCAAGCAACAAGTAAACAAATGTTTTTACATATGGGATCCAATGAGGACAGTGACTGACTCACTGTTTGAAACACCTGTTGCCATGGAAATGGGAGGTGTGGAGTTATAGCTACTGGGTCTCACTAGCTAGGAAAAAAAAAACACTGGAACTCACAGCGTCCCTTTCCCTTCCCTCTTTTTAGTACAAACCTAGTTAAAGATTAAATAGGTTTCAATAAGATTTTAGTAAAAAAGGAGAAAAAAAAAGTTGTGACACCAACTGCTCTATATTAGGGGAGCTTAATGAGTTGAGTACCTCGTGAGTAACTCGAACTCAATTTGATCAAAATTCAATAAAAGTTTTATTCGAATTTACTCGACTTGAACTCGAGTTTGACTCGAAATCTTAACGAGTTGAGTTGAGCAAAGTCTAACTCGACTTGATAAGTTCGTGAGCAACTTGTTAATTTTTTTATAACTTTTTAGTAGTTATCTTAAAAAATTATTTCATTCAAAAAATTACTAATTTACTAATAGATAATAAAAAAATGATAAATTACTAATCTATTAATTTTCTAATAAATAATTAAAAATACTAAATTATTAATTAATAATTATCATTTTTCTACAAACAAATATCAAACCCTAATTATTATTTTAATGTATTTATGGATTTTTATTTTAGTGTTTAGACTTTGAATTTGTTTCATACACTCTTGATAATTTTTTGGTTAAATTCTGTATAGTATTAGTATATTTTACATATAGTTAAACAAAATAAAATAAAATTTTTGGTGAGCTTAGCGAGCAATGAACTTAATGAGCTTAACGAGCAACAAGTCAAGTAATAAATTTTTCTTAACGAGCACGAGTCAAGAAAAATTTTAACGATCTTAACGAGCAACAAATTTTCTTAACGAGCACGAGTTGAGGAAAATTTTAATTATCTTAACGAGCAATGAGTTGAGTCGAGCAATAAATTTTTTTAATAAGCACGAATCGAGCATTGTCTAACTCGCGATCGGCTCGCTCGATAAGCACCCCTGCTCTATATACGTAGGTATAGGTCACTTTAATATTAAGAAAGGTGCATGCTATTGCTGGAAGGTCAGCCGGCTGATGTTAAAAACATGTATATATAAATTACATGATGTTATATGAAAAAAGCATGTATAGATTCATGGAGGGCATTTTATAATTTGGAGGTCTCCTACGGAAGTTGCTCTCAATCTAGTATTGGGGGCAGCCTACTATCTTATCTCCCCTTACCCCATTACATATGGGAACAAGGGACAGCAAAGAAAGAAAGAAAGAAAGAAAGATTCATGGACACGCATCAAATTTGAATATATGTACATGAGAAAATAATGGTTTATTTATTCTTCCAACTTGGGGTTGAATTATGGGATTTGAGACCTGCGGCGATGAATTAGTGAATAAAAGTAAACCCAGTGGTCCTCAAGAACAAAGTAGAAAGGTAAGAGAATCCTCTTTAAAGTTGGACCTTAACACTTAAAACTATTTCATTTCACTTATTGTTCAAGCATAGACGATGACAGAAAGTCATAAAGGGAAGAGCAGCTCCACATGCACCCATGCCTAGAGCTACTTCTGAACAAATGACGCAACCAAAGGCTTAACAGTCATATATATAAATATATATATATGGCTTGTATTACCCTTATTTAGATTCAAATTACCACAACACATAAAATAGTACAGTGCAGATGACACACTTTAAAACCGCAGGTATTAGCAGGACAACAATAGAGTCTCACTGCTCCCACCATCACCGAGACAAACAATGAAAACTAGAAAAGCCAAGCGACATCTCTAGCTCGAACATAGGAAAGTCCTGAAGATAGTGGCTAGCCATAGACCAAACCTTCACTTAAAAATGTAAAAGAAACACTCATCCCAGCATGACCATATGTCTCCATGTAGGAAACCCTAAACGGAGCATAGTACGCTCTGATATTGTCTCGTTTGTTCACATACCGCCTTCTCCTCCTCCATCGTTTATATCACCTGAAGAGGCATCGTTCCAAGGAAAAGAATAAGGAAGAGCACCGGGGACCTGGTAGAACCCTCCTCCTTCATTGCCAATATTCCTTCTGTTAAACTCGGGTAGCCTGTTACGGGGAGTGAGGGGTTGAAATGAGCTTGTCCCCGGTGCTTGAGGCAAGGCTGTGGGGATGTCGTTGCAGGCGAAGCGGATCAAGTCGGCATTAGCTGCGTCAAGTTCTTTCTGGAGCCTTTGGACTTGTCTCTGCAGGAAAGTGATGGCGCCAACGCAGCCATAAACTGGATCTCTTACTCTCGCCTCAGCTTCATAGGCGAGGGAATTCACCGCGTCCTCTCTTTGGTGAGGGAGGAGCTCATTGAGGAGCTTGGTCACGTTGCTCGCTCCGAAGATCTTGTGAACATTCACAAATTTCTGGGGCTCCTCCGGTGGAAAGTAAGGTGCAAAGATGCAGCCCGGCATGCATTTCCTCCTCAACAATTTACAGGCAGCACAGGGTGAATTGTAAGAGCTGGAAGAAGACATTTTCACTGCTGTGTAAAGATCAAACAAGAACCAGTTTTCGTCAGCAGAGATTTTTTTAGTTCTTTAATAATGGGATTCTGAAAAGGTTTTGACTTTTGAGACACTATATTATCATTTACACTTCTTCTGCATATTTTCATGATATTTTCAGTTTTCCCTTTCTTTTTCGTAATTAACTTGGGGTTGGGGTTCACTCTTCAAGAATCTGTCTATAGCTACTAGGGTTTTCCTGAACGTATCTTGTGTATGATTCAGTGTCCTACAATCTAACCAGCTGGTTTACCAAAGGAAATAAGTCCAAAACTTTTGAAGTTTAAAAGAAAAAAAAATCTTAAGCCCACCTTTCTGACACTCTCAGGGACAAACAACAGGAGAACCTTTTGAAACATACATGCATAAGCAATTACACATAAACTCTCAACTCTGTGAACATTAATTATTACTGATTTATTTTCTGCCTTCTTTTCCTGTTCCTTCTTTGCTAAGTTCTTGTTCGTTTAGAGGGAGAAAAAAGGGTCTAATTCAAGAACTGGACCTTCATGATCCACACAAGGATCTATGCCTGCCACCATTAATTTTGGTTCCTAAGTTTGTCTTTTCTTTTACATATAATATCCATAATTAACTTGTAGTACTGCAAATTTAGTAGCATGAGTAGATGTAAAGCCATAGGATCATTTTCAGCAATGGAATGAAGGATGAGATCTGATCTGAGAAGTGCAAAAATTCACCAAGACAAGATTAAACCTTTCATAGGTATATTTAATGTATATTTGAACATAAGCAAAGCCCTAAAACTAGATCCTTTAGCTATTAGCTATTTAGCTTAGATTGACTTGCCAACAAAAAAAAAAAGTATTGGCACATAAAAGAAGAAAGCAGGAGCAAGACATTATAAATGTACTCTGAATTTGGATCTGTGATTTATGATCGGAAGAATAAAAAAAGGGAAGTACCTTTTCCCCTTAAATGAATGAGCTGTGAGGAGGATCTTGGTTTGCTCTCCTACTAAGATAAGGGCAGCCTTTGGCAGTGGAAAACTGCTGATAAATAAACCTAAACAACCCCAGTAGATTTTATGGCTGCAGCCAAAGAGGGAGGGGGAAACCCTAATTGGAGAAAGAGAAGGTGAAAAGCAAGATGATCAGCGAGAAAAAGGTAATGGAAAGGGAAGGGGAAGGCAAAGAGCATTTAACGGATGGGGATGGAATTGGAGGCAAAAGACAAAGGTGATGAAAATGGCAAGGGTACACTAAGGAATGACTGTGACCTTGCATCTAATAATAATATCAGGCGATGTGGGGATGTCCCCCTTTTCTCTCCTCTTTTTTTCTTCTCATGCATCAGTTCATACTTGACATATATTCCCTAATCCAAAATAACAATTATTAAAATTTCTTAATGGAGAACTCTACGTATTAACAATTGGGAAAGGAGAAAGGAAAAGCATATTAATGGAGAATTCTACTACGTACATATTAATTATCAATGAGGCCGATTCTCAAATAATGGGAAATAAGCACCACTCGGATCATGATGTTAATGCTGACTTGAATTTTTGTTACAATTTTACTAATTATAACTCTTTCCCTAATAATAAACTATTTTAAAAACATAATTTGTTATCAACGATAAATAATTTGACATTCTTTAAATTAAGTTTTGAAGTCAAATTCTATAATAAGAAACAATAATATTATGAGAGTTTTAAAATCGTCAAATTCAAATTCTAGTATAATTAAGCTCATATAATCCCATTATAATATTCAAATTTAATAGGTTACTTAAAATACAATTTGGATTAATGATTATAAGAAGTGTGTTTATTTCTTTGAAAATAATTTTTGGAAAATAGTTGTTATATTTTATGATAATTTATTTTTGAAAAAATAATTTGACCAAAAATCGATTTACTATTTAAAAGTATAGAAAGAGACATAGATACTCTCTTAAAAGAAAATTAGTGTTATTAAAACTACATCTCTTAAGATTAGACGATCAATAGATCGGATACCGTGGTTATTTCAAAAAATTAATTGGTATTTTATTCTACGGACAAATAATTAATTTAATGGAATAATATATTAGATTTTTCAGATAAGATTAGCGATTTAAATTTTGACATTATAAATAGAGAACATTAATTGAAAAGACAGTTTCATAATAAACCTTTATATTATCATATTTGAAATGATCAATCAATAAATTATAAAGAGTTAAAACATGTTATTTAATCGAATAACATTAACACCTGATTCAATATAATTATATTTTGATGTACAGAGGATAAAATTTTTATTCTACAAACAGAATTAAAACCAATTATCATGTGTTCCATTAAAATCAGTTATTAGTAATTAAATAATTTTGACAACCTCTAAACTTTAAAGACAACACTAATTCAATTACAAAAGATGAACTATTAAATGAGTAAAATAGAAATGTAAAGGAAACTCTGCTAATACCTACCCAAGGCAATTTAATGTAGTTAATCTTTAGCTGTTGCGTTATGTAACCAAAGCAAAAAGCTGTTGCATTTAGGACTAATAACTCAGTTTTGAATGTTTCTCCGAAATAGCTGCAATGACAGCAGCAACTGTTGTTTAATCTTGCTTCATTCATCATCGGCAAGTCTGGGTGAATGTTCATGGAAGTTCTACCAAGATACTTGACAAAAGCAGATTCAGCAATGGATTTCACTGTTATTAGAGCCGCTGTTCTTTATCAGTATGCTCTTCTCTAAATGGTCAATTAGTTCGTTTATTTGAACTGACAAATCATACAGTTCATAAAAGGAATGTTGATGTAAAAAAAATGGCAAGTTTCGACTATATAGTAAAAGTTCATTCTACTCTAGCTTTTTCACAACAGGTTTCATATTAAATTCCCAGTAGATTCATCTTTTTCACTAGAGATAATAAAAGACCAAGAGCCCTACCCCAAAACCTACCATCAAATGCCCCAGACTAAGCATGTTACGCAACGCCTATCATACATTTCATTTGTGTAAATTATATAAACCACTGTTGGGATATAAGCATTCCCTATGAGCTTTCGTCTTTTAGTTCCATGACTTTCCTCAAGTCCAATCAAGCCAATTCACATGACAAGCACACAAAACTAACTTTGGAAAATGTTAGCTCATCAGTGAAACAAGCCAAATGGGGGTGCCATAAAATGTAATTTTCAATCCAAAACCAAATTATCAGAAGAGAATGACGCAAGATTTTATATCAAGATATGAATTAAGAAATTATATTAGAAATTAAAGCAGTGCGAAAACTCAAAATTCTAGAAGATATGGAATTAAATCAACAATAGAAAATAAAAAAAATATCTAACTATATAAAAATATGAAATTTTGAGAGATGCGAGAACCCAACACCTCCTTAATCCATATTTGAACTATATATATAAATTTAATGGTGAGATGTAATTTTATGGGTTAGTTTTTCTCTCATTACTACTGTAAACTGATGAAGTGACTGGGATTTGATGTTCACTGGTATGTCAAATATGTCTGCAATAGTCTCCGTTATAAGCTGTGGAGATAACAACAAGCTGGTGGCATATTTATAATCGCAATGGGAATACCGAAGACTAATGTTCCCTCTAGATAGTGTTAATTTACATTGAAAGCTAGTCTAGGCTATGATGGTAGCTAGTGGTGGGAATTTTTTACTTGAACAGCACAAATAACTTTCGGAAAAAAAAACTTTTCTGGTGCATAATTATCAAAGCATGCATACTTGCTAATTTTCATTATCTAACTTTCACGAGTCTGCAAACATTGGTTCCACTTTATTGCAGCTAGTTCAGCAAAAGCAAGTTAATTATTGTCATTTTACTGTTTGTAGCTCTGTTTAGGTTTCATTAACGATCAAATTGAATGTTGGGCTTCTTTTTTGTGACCAGGAAGGCAATAGTGGGCTATGAGAAGCTTATTATACAGGTTTTTTTCCTAATAGGGCAAACGAAATAAATAATTAGCTCAATGGGTATATAAAAGTTTATTTTAGGTTCTATGATATTCGCTATAGTACTCGTGGAACTCATAATATCGAGGTGATAAGTTCTATTGAAAAATATATTTTATTTGACAAATTTGTCAGTTTTAATATTTAATTATTTTACTTATAATTCGTCATATCGATGTGACGAGTTCCTTTAAAATATCTTTTAAATTGGAGTTTTATTTAAATATGGAAAAAAATACAAATGGAACTCGTCATGATGAGTTCCTTTAAAATAATGTTTTTTTTTAATTTGGAGTTCCAACGGTCATATTTATAATTTTTATTAAATACAAAATATTAAATTACACACATATTAGAAACATTAAATCCTACGTTACATTAGAAACATTAACCCTTACATTACATTACAATACAATACAAGCATTAGGTTACTCACACATCTTAGTCTTCATAGTCTAGTGACTCGTCATATGTTAAGTTCTTCAATCCTCATTTTTTTTCTCTTGTTTCCTTCTATATATAAATAGTTCAAGTTCTTGAAGTTCAGTTACTATATTGTCAATCTTCAGGAGATTTTGTTTTTGATGTGGAATGAGTTACAACTTGCTTGTGACACTCGAAAAATAAGTCAACACTACTCAGCGAATTGGTGATGTATGTGTCAATCATTGTTCGAAATGCATCATCATTGTTCAGATAACCCATTGATAAATGTTGTGGAACCAAAGAGGTTGGAAACCTGAAGTGTAGTAAAGAAAGTGTTGAATCTTCAGTAGCTCCAACTTTTTTTTGAAATTTTCTTCATCAAGTCGAATAGTCAAATGTCTTCCTAGAATGAGATGGTGAAAGATTTTCCCTCACTATAAATTGTTGCTGAAATTACTACCATAGAAATTTTCGAAATATGAACCTGAACAATGAAAAAGTAATGACTATATATAGCACTCAAAAAGTAAAGGTGAATTATGATAGGGTATGATGAATTATTAAATATGGGTAAAAATATCATTCAATTGTCTGATATATCACTTAAAAGTTTCTGAAGTGAAGTGAATGGGCACTGAAAAGTTTTTGTCATTGTTTACTAAATGGTCTATTAGAAAATGATGTTTTTCTGAAACGAAGTGATATATCACTGAAAAGTTTCTAAAATAAAGTGATATATCACTTAAAAGTTTCTGAAGTGAAGTGAATGGGCACTGAACCGTTTTTGTCAGCGTTCATTAAATTGTCTATGAGAAAATGACGTTTTATTAGATGAAATATTATATCACTGAAAATTTTCTAAATGAAGTGATATATTACTAAAAATTTTCTAAAGTGAAGTGATTGTGCACTGAAAAGTTTTTGTCAGCGTGCATTAAATTGTATATGAGAAAATGACATTTTTTCTTAAATGAAGTAATATATCACTGAAAAGTTTCTGAAATGAAGTGACATATCACTAGAAATTTTCTAAAATGAAGTGATATATAATTGAAATTTTTCTGAAGTGAAGTAATTGGGCACTAAAAAGTTTTTATTAGTGTGCATTAAATTGTACATAAGAAAAGAATATTTGTTTGAAATGAAGTAATATATCATTGAAAAGTTTCTAAAATGAAGTTACTTATCACTAAAAAGTTTCTGAAACGAAGTGATATATCATTGAAAATTTTCTATCATTGTGCACTAAATGGTCATTGATGATAGCTCATTTTTCTTTTAATTTGGTTAATGTTATGTGAATCTTCACAATGTCAGCTGTAATTGGAGGATACATGTTTTGTACGTACATCAGAAGATGTTGTGGGAAGTCACAAAGTTTCACGACTAGCACAACTGTACATTGAGCTCATTGACACAAGACCACAAACACTTAGATTCTAATGCCATATGCTCATACGTCAACTTTTGGTGGAGAAAAATCCAAGGATACTAGTTTCAATGATAATGACATCAATCCGAAATACATTTGGTTATATTTCGTCTTACTACAAGTCATGGATAACGAAAAGGAAAGTGATGACACTACTGTACGTTGATTGAGTTTAGTCGTATAATGAGCTTTCACATCTGTTGTACGAAATGAAATTTTTTATCCCTGGAACCATTGTAGGATATTATAGTCATCCTGCGACCACATTTGATGGAGAAGTTATCCCAGGGAAGAGAGTTTTCGGAGGCTTGTTCTGGGCTTTCAAGTCATATATTGAAGGTTTTCTCTAT